CCCCCCCCCCCACACACACACACTCCCGCGTATCCTTCCTTGCCTCTTCGCGAATTTTTCGATCATGCCCCGGAAGGCCTTGACCTGCCAGTCTTCCAGCTTGGATCCGTGTAGCTTCGCGATCTCGTCCGCGGTCTGCAACGGAGACCAAGAAGAAACACGAGAAAACAAATCAGTCTCATCTACCTACGCACACGCAAGACTTTTCCAACCAAAACCTCCAACATCCGAAACACTAAATCTCCCTCAAGCGGCCGAGGTCTACTACCACTCCCGGGATCGCGACCGTTGAAACGATGGGTAGTTCAGCGAGCGCTTCGAGTGCTCTCTCTCTCTCTCTCTCTCTCTCTCTCTCTCTCTCTCTCTCTCTCTNTGTATCTCTCTCTCTCTCTCTCTCTCTCTCTCTCTCTCTCTCTCTCTCTCGCCATCTCGCCAACTCCCCGTCTCGTACATACCTTGTTAATGAAACAGTGGTAGATTAATCCATTAGGCCCACTTGCCTTCATACTTTTCACCCCCATCTGCAGAACAACGAAGCGGCGACGGGCAACGCGCACGCGCACTCCGGTGTTTGTGTGTTCTACTCGATATTCCTCAAGAGTTGCGAAAAAGACAATCATCGCACCCCCGGATCGTCGGTTCCTCGACTATTACCACGAATAGACGAATCTACTACGGCAAGGATGGATGTCAGCAAGCTTACCACAAGGCGAAACTACGACGGCAAGGTTGGATCCCAGCCAAGATTTTCACGGGAGGCCAGTTGGCATTTCGCCAACACGGAGAAGCGCATGACGAATGGCGGGGAGTTTCACGGAAGGGGTGAGCCGCACCTAACGACCCAACCATCACTGCACACGGCGGAACCGCGGCACGATCAGCCAACCTATTCTTCGTTATTTATTTCCGGCGGGCTGGGAAGACAGGGTTTGATTTATTGCTCATAGCGAGTCTCCATTCCTACGATCTCGGAGCCTGTATCCCTTCCTGTTTTAGAATTTCAAGGTTGCTGTTGTTCGGATGACATCCTCAAATGGCACGGAGGCACATGGGGAAAGAAGTAGAAATGTTGAAAATGGTGGACGTGATATAGGGAGACCGTGATCCTCTTCGCCGGAAAACCAAGCACAGCCAGAATGCCGCAGATTTCAAAAACTTCAGCTACGTTTTTACTGCTGTAATAGTACAATTTGTCACTGGTCCAAGGTGTCCTCGCTCGGTAAACTCAGCGGCCCCTTTCTCGGTTCTCGTCAAAATCTCGGAGCCCGATCATGGCATATCGCTGTCAACTTGCGCGATTAAAACGCTGATGCCATTCCCCGCATGCTTGGTGGAGGAGTTGAACCTTCCAACAGGAAATGGTGGACGAAGTGTCGCGTCCAGACAAGGTACCCCGGAAACGGAAGTCAAGAGCGCCCCTAAATTAGGGGAACAAAGAACGACGGAGACAAGCCTGCGGGGGGCCAAACACACACCAGCCACACAACCCCCAGAGCAAGTCCTCCGCCCGCTGCTCGATCCCAGAACACCCATGCAAACGTACCCTTGAAAGAAACTGTGCCTAGCACACTAGCAGCTGCTCTCATGGGTAGCACTTCAACTCAACGATCGACCAGTATGTCCTTCAAAGCACTGGACGTTGTACTGTCTTTGGAATGAGCCAGCGCACAACTTTCGTTCAGAGGGGTTCCCCACATTGCCTCATGCCCCACCACAAAGCAAAAAAACCACAACACCAATGGGTACGGATATAAATAGGTTCTTGCACTTCTGCGACAACGTTAATTAAGTCTGGAATCAGACTCCACAGCCGCGCACTCACGTCCATGCTGCTCAGCATCTTGTCCACCTTCGAAATCGCCTCGTCGAGGGTGAACGCGAGCTCGCCGAATCTCTGGTAGGAGACGTCCAGCGCCTTCTGGGCCTCGTCTTGAGACATCACTTTCCTCGCCTGTGATTCCCACATGCATACAACAACACACCGGTCGCCCCGGTGGTCTAGTGGGTAACCTCGCAGCCTGCTAAGAGTCAGGTCATGGATTCGAGTCCCGACAGAGTGAGTTTTCTCCCCACCAAATAAATTCTGGTCTAGGATGAAAGCGACGCGTTGCGAAGCTCGTTGCTAGTAAACCATAATCGACTTCGTAAGTTTTGAGGGAAGGGATTGCTGTACCCTTCTCGCGAAAAAAATACCTCAGGCGGGAACCGCAAGAGGGGGTCCAGCCCCCCCCTCCTATGTGACCCCGGTTGGGTCGTCTAGCTAGTACAAGTGGAGGATAGGGGCCAGAGGGGCAGACGACAGAATCCGATGATGGGAGAAAAAAACAACAACAACGGAGAGTAATCGCAGGTGGGACGCGGCAGGATGGACGCGATATGGCACGGCATGGCAGTGATGTGCGCATGTATCGGGGGGGGGAGGGGGGGGGCTTGACTCTGCTGTTCGATCAGCATGAATGGAGCAGCCGTGAGGCGACTTTTCGAACTGAGTTCCCGACAGACGGGTCCTTGATGAAGGTCGAAGACTGTTTCGATTTCTCGTAGTCTGGTGCACTGTTTACGAATGGAGGCACGGGGGGGAGTTGAAAGAACAGGTGCGCTCTTTCGTTGATCGGCAGGCGTGAAGCTGTTCGAGCATCAATGTGTCAGTGGGCCCGAGTACCTGCCGAATAACGAAAAAAGGAGGCATCGGCGCCTGGACCAGTTTCTGCGGTCGTAGAAGAGTAAGCATTTGGGCGACAACCGAGTAAAAGATGGAGTTGTATGCAAGTACTAGGCCGAGCGTGCTTTCTGTGTGTCATGGATGGCTTTGTCGTTACCCTCATGATCTCGCTGTTTTCTTTGGCACAGATTGGTCAATGTAACAGCCAGGGGAACGGGCACAAGCGGAGGCGACATGGAGAGTACCGTGCCCCCACGTCGCAATGCTTGCCGGAAGCAATTTTCGGGGAATCGAATGCGTCTACTGCTGCCTCATGGATATCTCGAAAAAACTCCTGTTTCGTTTCACGTAGAAAACGATTGTTTCGTTTCACATGAAAACGGGTTCGAAGGCGCCCCGAGCTCGCGTCACGCATCTTGCAAGGCAGCATATATTCAATGGGAGTGTCTGAGTGCGTAAGCATGTTTTGAACACACTTGTTCAGCAACACACCTCTGACTGCTGCAAACTTGACGGGCGGGGGCGTTGGACGGACCGATTAGACACTACACCAGTATCGTTTCTTTTGCCTGGGCAGGAGCCGCAGTACAAAAGCCTCGTCACGCCCTGTTTGAAAGTTGTGGTACGCTCCCTGGGAGTTCCCTCTGCTGCTCCTGGTACCAGTTAGCTCTCCAGCGGAGCATCACATCTGCTGCTGTTTCCCCCCTGTTGCATGTTTATCAGCCGTGGTACGCTTGACCGGAACTTACCATAAGGATCTGGGCGAAGGCTTGAAGCGGCTCCCTCAGAGAAGCCATCTCCGCTGTCCCCCGTCGGCGAAACCAAGCACCGCACACCAGCAACAACACGCCGTCTCGAGCGTTTCTATCCCTCGTACCTTCCGTCACCGATATCTTTTGCAGCTGGACGCGGTCGGCGGTGCAGGTCGTCGGGGCGGGGCGTCGGGGGCGCGCCCAATTGTTGAAAATTTGAAAAATAATAAAAAAAAGCTTGCACTGTGCACTTCTAAGAACGCCCCTTTCACTGCGACACCCTTGATTTGGCGGTGCCACCCCTCGGGGTTCACCGAGGTGTCGACCCCCCTCGGGGGCGACGATCTCCAGAGAGCACCATCGACAACGGCTTGTGACATCGGAACCGAGGGCAGACATCCACAAGAGGCAATTCAGGAAGCCGCGGTATTTCAGTCGAAGCAAGAAATTGGCTCCTTTAGCTTGGTCACTGTGGTGGCAAGCGCGGATCGTTGCCGGAAAGTCGGTGGTGTCTTTGGCACAGCAGCGAGGACGAAGGGAAGCAACGACGGAGGTATATTTGCCTCGCGAGCGGATTCGGCAGCAGCTAGCAACAAAAGTCGCGCGGAGCGCATTGCAACAAGCCCTCCAGCAGCAGTGGCTTAAGTACATATTTTCGGTAGGTTTCATCCTCGATCATCATGTCGAAACTATCTGAGGGCGAGCAGCTCTTCGCTTCCTTCCGTTCCAGCGCGGAGAAGGGGGACATCCAAAAGGCGAAGGTGCAGCCATACCATGTGTTTCGTGTGCACATATTATAGAGCTCTAGCCGGTTCATGGAATCAGCGAGATTGAGAGGTCGTCGAGGTTAGGGCTGAGATCACCACCAGAGCAGCATCGATATTGAAAAGTGGCAAGCGAGTCGCTCTTCATACTTTGATTGGTGGTCTCGCGCGCGACCAGTAAATGTAACCCGTTGAGCCTTGTTTTTTTGCAATATTATAGTCTACACACATGTGAAGGCATTGGGGCACTCTTCTCTTTGAGGGCGATCGCAGCGAAACACGACCCGTGTTGTTCATTTCGCCATGGATGTCGGAAGGATAAGTGTA